TTTATATTGTATAAGAAAAAATACTTAAAAAAAGAAAAAAGTCATAAAAAAAAAGTAAAATGATAGTTGGTGGGCCAACTCGTTAACCCACCATAGTGAGTTACGATTGGTTAAAAACCAATCCACTATTATACTAGGCCTTTTAGCTCGCATTGTTTAACTCAAATGGTCATAATCAACTCACATCCTACGAGTTAGTCGGTATTATCACCTCTAAATTTAAATCCAGCTATGTGAAGATTCATTTGCATAATTGTATTTGTAAATGTGTTTAAATTAAGTAGTATATTTGCTTATCTATTATACTATGATTAATTTAGGCAACGTTGGCCCAAAAAAAAAGGATTAATTTAGGTAACGTAATTTTAATGAATTTAAATTGAGCCGCAGATGTCGCTTGCATGTGAAGGATAGGATTCTCTCGTACTTTATGTGTATCTCTCTCTCACATAGTCACACATACTAATAATAATCCTATTTGATCTTTTCACGCACTCGAATATAAATAATTAGGCATTTAATTCTTGCCATGTCGTTTTGAATTTGGGGTTAGAAAAAAGAGCAGGATAGCTTTGAAACCCACCGAAAGGTAGCTTTGGGAGACAAAATATAGTAACACAAAATTTCAGTTTCTGACATTATATAAAGCCACTCCTCATCGCAAACTACAAAAGCTTGCCCTTTTTTTCTTTTCACTTACCCTTCCCCCTTGCTAATACTAATATAATATATATATATATATATATTTTATAGAAGATATATATACCTAATACCTCTCTGTGCGAGCACATGGCACGGTTCCTTTCTTTCGTTTTTAAGGAAATTACAGTGACCCCTCACTTCTATAGGATTTGGACGCATTTCCCCAACAAATATATTGGCCTAAAAAATTTCATGCCCCGCTATATAGTTCCTCATTTTAATCATTTTGAAGCTACCCACTAATAATTATTGTAATTGTTATCTTTTTGGGAAAGAAAATGGGTCCTAAGTAGTTCGAATTATTGTATTCGCACACGATGAAGATTTTTTGCTGCGGGGGGCCGCAATGACATTTTCTTCTTGCACACGTTACCAAAAAGGAAAAATGGAAGGAACAAATTAAAATAAGGTCACATATAGGCATATCGATCTAGTAATTAAATTCCACATAGTGATGCAGATATGGCTTAGCTTTCAATGCTAATGATGGTCGAGATGAATATATAATACACACTATTACATAGGCTAATAAAACCAAATGGTGGAAAGAGAAATATAACCACACCTGATCATGCTTACTTGAAACAGTGAAGCTGTCTTGTCTAGTTTGACCAGATAATGGTGGCAAGTCCTGGCTGGGAATGGAAATAGACTAGGCTCTTATAACTTAACCTCATGGGAGCTTAATAGAGTGGTCTGTTTAGCAAATAGGTTAAACTTAATGTCCATTTAGAGGCTTTTTAAAGTAAAAAAAAGGTAGGTTTTTAAATTAAAAGTATGGCCTGAAAACCTGCAGACCTAGCTTGATTAATTTTTTTAAAAAATGTATTTTATTAATATATATTAAAATATGTGGGTTTCTAAGCATATCAAAGGCTTACTAAAACCTACATTTGTATATGCAAACATGAGGTCCTTTTAAATGCTCACATTGCAAGCTTCAAAAAAGCTATAAGCTTACCTAGTCTTTTAAAGGCTCAGATCTGAGCTTTTAAAAAAAAAAAAACTTGTATGCGGACTCAAATTTTAAACTCCTATTATAAACTTAGACCTATTTAGGCAAAACCCGGTTTGTTTCCATCACTATCCTGCGTATGATTTTAAAAGACGACTCTATGATATATGTGTATGTATAGCTGGGAGGTCCCAAATAAGAGGTTATAATGGCCAACCAAAAGAAGAAGTATAACAAAGACGTTTAGAGCCGGGAACAGAAAAAGCCAAAGGCTAGTCCTTTGGAGAAAGTAGACGACGAAAGATGACAAAGATGTAAACTCAAATCCCTATATAAAGCCATGATGCTGCAAACTTTTGCTGTGTCTTCTCTCATACAAACTTAAGGTCATTTTCTCAGTTCAATTAATTTAGTAGTGGATCACTCCAACGTGGTAGAGATGCACCACTCGTGATGAGTTGGGCAGGTCAACCTCACCTAATCCTACGATCGTCTTTTTTGACTTTGATGCACCCACACCTATGTGTACATTTGCAAACACTTGTGTGCCTAATATTATCTCAGGTAATTATATTAGTTGATGCCGTTCGTGTCATGTATATATGAGTAAATTCTAAATACTGTTCACGTTACATCATGATGTAAACCTAGATAGTTTCATTTCATTTTTTGACTTTAAAAAAAAAAAAGAAGTGGCTTTCATTGCTCAACAATATGTCCACCACCAAACTTGTACATTACGGCAGACCCAGCAGTAGCATCGATTCATCCTCTTTTCACTTTCCTCTGTTTCTTTCACGACCGTCCATGAAGACAAAGCACCGTCAGTGTTCATCCATGCATTTAAAAAATCTCCGGGTCGTAATTATTAGTAAGAAGACGACATTATTATCATCATTAATTATTAATTAACTTTGAGCTCTTCATTATTTATTACCGCACGAGGCCGCGCTCTTTTATAAACTGACTATATAATTTTGTTGGTGTGGGATCTTTGCACTAATAAGTGCCGTATGCGCTACTGTACTTCTCAAGTGAATCGCGGAATATTATTAGTATAACAAGAGTTGTTATATGATGATATATAGTTAGGGGAGGAAATTTTTTTTTTTTGTGTTTCAAAAAATGAATGTTGCGATGAGGTAAAATATTGAGTAATCAGCTTTGGAGTGGTGGGTTGAACAAAGTAGAAAGATGTGACGGAGTGAATAGTAAAGGTGAGTCTGAGATGAAGATGAAACGTAAATATATTGAAAAGTAGAGGTTTGAAATATATGTGGTGGGTGGGGTGGATATAAATAATTGAAGATGGGAGGGTTTTTGACGAAGGGATTAAATGAGGAATATGGAATATAGAGGGTGCTTTCACACTTCCCTTTCTTCACAAACAAGGTAACTGGGTATTGCCGCTACCTTGTTTCAAATCGATGCATGATTCAAATTCAAATCAATTTCTCCCAAAGGCCGACGTTTCGAAGAGAGAGTGTGTGTGTGTGTTTGCGGCCTTTGCCTCCTACTTATTTTCATTCAATCGCCGCCATAATGTCTTGATGAAGAAACGGTCGTTTTTTATTTGTTGGCCAAAACTCCAGGAAAAACTTGACCCTTCGTGTCCGAACCAAAAAAAAATACTACCTTCGGTCCTAATTATAAAAGCCAGTTAACTAATTTGAGAAGATTAAGGAAATAAGTTGAGTTAGTTATTTGTCCTAAATAGGTGTTGTCTTTCTTAAAATATCCTTACTAATCAAGTGTATTGACTAGAATTTTTGTTATTAGAAGGGCTACTTTGAAAAAAAAATGTATAAATACGAGAGACAAAATGGATTGGGGTCTTATATTTAGGACCAAAATAAAAGTCAAACAGGGTCTTATATTAAGAACCGGAGGTGGTATATACTTGGTTACAGTACTCGCACGTTTCATTGCAACTAAACGCACTTCTTTTACACAAAATCAACACTTCATCAGGCTAAAACAGCAATCAAGAGACATTGCACCATAGCGGTGTTTAGAGATCAGGCATCCCTTTCTTAGCCTCAAAAAGTTGCACATAATGTTAGGATTAGATGTTAAATATTGTGTAACGTCAAATATGGAATTAAATTAAAAAAACATATATGGGTCAACCACCTCTCTGTCGTATTTGAGTCTTGAACTTTTAAATAATCTGGGTACAACTACTTATTGACAAACGACAGAGCCATCCTGATCAATCATTTAATTTAAGATATCTTTTCTCGCCTAAAATGATAAAATTATTCAATTTAATTCATACACTACATCTTTTTTTTTTTTTTTTTGCCAACGTCGTACATTACCGATCTAGCCCCTTGCTCAAAATATTTTAATTAAGATACGTGTGCTATGAAGATTCAAAGTGCTATTGGAATGAATAAATAAATAAATAAACATTGGGTCAAGACCGAATCTAGAATAGGCTGAAATTCAAATAATTATTAAATAAACCATAGGCAAGAGAGGCTTTGTGAATTTCAATAAACAAAAAGGGGAAAAGAAAATGGTTCGAATCAACACGCTCAAGTTCCCACAAAGGATCTAATTTATGGGCCGTTGGTGTTCATGCATAATAATACGTGTTTAGAATGAATGAAGTGCAACCAATAAAAATTGGTCTAATTGATAAGGAACAGACTTATAATACATTCGTTGCTGATGGACCTTTTTGTTTCTTTTTTCAAAAGAATGAACGAAGTTCGATTTTGCTTGGCACACTGTTGATTAGTATGCTGATTGGAGAGCGTGTGATATAAGCAAATGTTTGATTCATTTCATGTGCCCAAAGGGGATAATGATGAATGAAGGAATGTGGAGTGATGATTGTTATGTTGTACAATTCATTTCAGAGCAATATCCCATGACAAATTTAAATCTGTGCTCAAAAGTGCGACTAAGTTTTTAGCCTCCTAGGACTATATGAATGTATCAGGATATGTTTGCAGGGGAGCCCTTAAGAAGAGTGAAAATAATGGGCCAGCAATGCAATGAGGCAGTGGAGGTATGGAGGTCCACTCTTCAAATGGGTTTGTTATTGGGCTACACTCCACATGCCCTTAACTGTAGCCCATTCCCAAGGGCCTCCTTTTTTGACGACGATGGCGGTAAAGATGAAAGAGTAAATTTATTTGGCTGTCCTTTTCTATCGTCAGCTTTTGCAGAAACCTTTAAGAACATAAAGAACTAGGATTGTTAACAAATCTTAATGTCTGGCATTGCTTCACTAAAATGGGGCCATCGTGTGCATGAATAAAATATATTAAGACAAAAAGTTCCTCAAAGGGAATAGTTTCCATGGGCGGGGGAGGGGAAGGGCTACCTGTCTTGCCCGGAAAGTTAGCCGCTGACAGTCCTTTGCTCCCAGGAATTCATGAAGCCTCATAGCCCTGTCTGTGACTTTCTGCATACACAAACCCACCCTCTTCCACAGAATCACTTCTCGCTATCCCACAAGTCATCCCTTCTCTCTCATTCATATGTATATCCCATCCTTTCATTTCCCAACCCATTTCCGTTTCCCATCTCTCCCCTCTCCGAATCATGCCTCTGGCTCCTCCTCGCGCATCAACAGCCTCTCAGCTCTACTGGTGCTTCCGCTGTAATCGACTGGTCAGGCTCGTCCCCTCCCACATCTCCGACATTATCTGCCCTCGTTGTTTCCAACGCTTCCTCTGTGAATTCAACCTACCAACACCCTCCCTCCTCTCCGGTTTCACCAATCCCCGCCCTTCCCCTGAATCGCGTTTGCTCGATGCCCTGTCTCTCATGCTTGACCCGCCCGTCCGCCGCTTCTCTGACCCTGAATTCGAGCTTCGACGCTTACCGTCGTTTCAGTGGAGACCTCACGAGCATGAAGGACGAACTAGTGAGAACCCACGTGTTGAGATTCCGGTTCGTCGCGTAAGACGTCCCCGACATCGTAGCCTTGATGCCAGAGATAGTGGTTTCGACCCAGAACCAGGAACCCAACCTCGTCCTCGGACTTGGGTTATTGTTCGACCTGTTGATCGTTCCAACTCATTCGAACGGATTCCTCGGCGACAGGATTCAGTCCCACGACGGGTTGATCCGAGAGACTACTTTTTTGGGCCGGGTTTGGATGAACTGATAGAACAACTGACGGAAAATGACCGGCAGGGCCAGCCTCCAGCGCCGGACAGAGCTATCGAAGCAATTCCGACTGTGAAAATATTGGCGACTCATTTGAAGGAGAACCCTCATTGCCCGGTTTGCCAGGAGGAGTTTGAAGTGGGTGGGGAAGCAAGGGAGTTAGCCTGCAAGCATATATACCATTCTGACTGCATCGTGCCATGGCTAAAGCTCCACAATTCTTGCCCCGTTTGCCGGCACGAGGTGCCGGTGCTTTCTAACTGCGACGAATCAAGGGACGATGGTGGCGGCAGGTGGCGGCGGTGTTTGAGGTGGAGTCAGTTGGCTTCCCTTTGGCCTTTCCACGGGAGGTTCCGACGGGTCAATCCGGAACGGTAGAATGATTCTACTTCTGCATGTGGGTGCCTCCGCTAAATTCATTCATAGATAAAATAGCAAAATCTACGAAATACTGAATGACTGCGTGCTCATGCTCACATCGCGCTTCTCTGTACTCCTATTTCTCTGAATCATTATGTGCTTAAGAAACCGGTTCCCTCAGCCCTCTTTTACACAACCATGCTGCTATCCCAAGTTCTAAATCGATCTACGTAACTACTTCCACGTATCATAATTTGAAAACTTAAACGTTAACGTGAACAGATAGAAACGTCTTTCCCCGCTTATATTGGGGGAAAAAGGATAAAAATATCAACACAATCGCAGGCTCCGCAATGTTAGGGACTTGAGCTAAGAAGTTAATAGAATTGGAATTGGCGTGATGGCGTTACCCGTGCAGATAACTTTCGCCATGATCTTCCTTTACCAAGTGCGCAATGGAGTGAATTGTCGTCTCATTTTACTCACGGCTACAATTGTACTAAATTTTATTTTAATCACATCTATTAATCCCCATAGCTTCAGCAAATGAATTATTGATCAATAAGTATTGCCATTGACTTTTTTATGTATCATTATATTGGGCGTAAATTTTAGTTCAATAAAAATAGTAAAAGTATGAAAATGAAACAAGCTTTAGCTTATGTGCCTCCAGAAAATTATTCTCCCTATCTCCGATGCGGTTCCCACCAAACACATTTAGAAAAGAAACATGCCACAGAACGACTCGTAGATCCGCGTCGTTTAGTAACAGTCTCCGCCAGACCTTAGCATTGCTGATAGCATATTGAAACTTAGTAAAACTTAACCGGGGTTGTCCGCATCCGCATATGATACAGCAGTTATCATCTTTCTATTATTTATTTTGCGAAAAATATCATTGTTAAGATTCGTTCAATAAAAATAAATAATTTTTCGTATTGTATTCAAGATTTAAATCCATTAGGTTACCCAAAAATAAAAAGATCCTGTAATAAATTTTAGCTGTGTTTGGACCGCCACCACAATGACATGCTTGCGCTGTTGCGCATGGGCCATACTCACCAAATTTGTTCAATTTATCTCCTCTTCAGAACCAAATATTTTCCTCCATGATTGTTCAATCTAAGTATCGCACCATCACACAGCACCGAACAAAATAGACAAGTTTCTAAGCCATTCAGTTTGACGCCGTGAATCTTAAATAGCTTTAAGTAGTCATTGCCTTCATAAGCGTTTAGGCTGATGGTGAGCGCCGGCATGGAACCCTTCTGTGTATGCGGTGTTCTTGAGCATCACCTGCAACGAGATAATCTTATGGTTAAAGGCTAAATCATCAACTTCTCTATGACAATGGAGTTTCACCTGCAAGCGATAGGCATTGTAAAAGACACCATGCTCCCAACTTCATTACCTAAACTTTCCGAAAAAGAAAAAACAATTCAACTGGGATCACCATATACTTACGACAAGGTTATTCAGATCAGAGCGGAGACCTTTCCGTAGATTGTCAGATACCACACTAGCCAGCTGATCTCCATGTTGCTTGATGGATTCTTCCTTGATCTGCATGATAAAGCCAGAAAACCCGATAACTATGACAGAAACTAGGGTGTAGGAAAGCCTAACCCCCCCTCTTTTTTCAGTTTTTGTGAATTACCTCTGAAAGCAATAATTCTGAAGTCTTATGCAATATCTCTTCGACAAATTGCCCAACATCAGCAAATGAGCTTTGTGAATGAACATTGTTGACTGGTTTTCCCTTGGTATTTTTCTCACTAACGGATGGCTTGACACCTTTTGCTGCCTCAGGAGGATTTGCAAGTTTTCAAGGCAATGAACTCATTACTAGTTTGATCACTTGGATCATTAATTCGCATAGGGATTCAACTTTAATACACTCACTCACAGGTTGATTAACAAATAAACCATCAGCAACCAACCCGTGCTTTTAAAATAATCCAACAGCAGAAGGTAGATTAACTTCACACTAAGCAAAGGACAGGTATACAGAAGCGCACACATGCAACTCACTAAAAGTTAATTACTGATACAGTATGCTAACTGCTTCAGGGATCACAGAGCGGGAAATAAAAGTACGTTCAAGCGGTCTCATTTTTTCATTCTTATTTTTTCTTTTCCCTTTTTTGTTTTTGTTCAAGTAAACAGTTAACTCCCCTCCCCAAGCTATGCTGAGCCTAATTGTATGTGGCGGAGTTGTGAAAAGGGCCAGACTGAATGAAAATGCTGCGCTTGCTTACATTATTCAGTAGAAGGGATAGACTAAGAAACACACGACTGCAAAGATGTTCGGCAAAAATGACTGACGAAATTAGGGTTTGTAATTAGCAGATTGTAAGAAGGTTATCATCAATTGGTTGGCCACAGGCGGTTTTTAATTTCCAAAATAGATCTTGATTGTTGTGTAAGGGTGCTTGTGAGTCGTGAGTTTCAGTGCATTGACCACAGGTTTCCCCCCCATTTTCTGATATCACTCGAGCTTGGTAGTTAAGTCCTTTTGAGATAACATCCTATTCAACCAATGTGCGACCATGTTTCTGATCCACAGGAGCCAAAAAGTTCCGGTTATAACACATTCACCATTTTGGCATCTTGTATTCAGATCTGCGTATGATCCTCCCCATGAATACTATTTAAGCTGTAAAAATGCAGAAAGATTTGATGCCAAAGCAGGGACTACTTTCATGCGGATGAGACATGAATAAAGGGACACGGATGAGCATGGAATATCATATCTAATAAGAAATTTACCTGGTAACACAGTGGGTTTACTATCAGCAGAAACATGACTTTTATCTATAGGAATTTGTGGAGAAGGCTGCTTTTCAGGTTGATCAGGAACAACTATTGAACCAGATGGAACTAGTGCAGCCAGATCAGGGGGTTGATCTTTTCCCACAGTTGGATTGGCCTACGAAAAGGATAAAGAACAAATATCATATGATGGCTAACAATGGATAATACCTAAGCTGGGAACAGGAAATGACCATGACTTTCCTCACCTCCAAATCAATATACGAGGGATTTCTTCCTATTGATGTAAGAAATTTATCAAGACCATGAGCATTTAAAGCTGCAAGCGAGAAGATAAGAATTGGGTGTGAGATTGGACTCTAATATATTCGACAGTGAGTGCATGAAAACATGATGGATCAGCACATTTATTATCTAGTCCAGAGTATGTGACAAGGGGCCTAACATCTCATGTGCTACATTCATGCCAAAAAAGCCACATAAAGGTTTATTTTCATATAATACGGAATCATGAAAAAAAAAATATTCCAGAATTAGAATATCATAGGATCCGATCTTTTTTTTTGGGGGGTGGGGGTGGGGGAATTAAGGCTTGATGTCATTTGCTCTGCACAAGATAGATCAACAATTAGTCTACTGTCCGAAAAAATCTTTCTCACTTACATATGGACATGTCATTTGATAGAGGGTGGAAGAAGCAGTGCTGCTGCGCCTTCAACCGTTGATCCAATAAAAGCGAGACATCTCTTCAGGAAATGAAATATATGGCACAAAAGAACAAGGGATCAGTTCTTTTGAAATGTATTAACTAAATGGGCGAGAATGTTGTCAAATAGTATATATGAACAAATCCAAACAAAATGATAATTCAATAAGGCAATGAAATATTTTATTAAATTTAACAAAGATGTTAACACAATTAGTGGTAGAGAACACTCTTGTTCATCATCTTGTTCATCATTCAAGCGGATAAGTAGAGATGAGCAAAATACCCATATCCTATGAGTTCCTGTAGAATTTTACCGACGTATGATAGCAATTATAACCAATAAAATTTTGTGGGAGGCATTTAATATCTCACAAGTAGGGGAACGATCAAAATATTTGCATACCGTGCTGATTCATTCACTAACGCAAATGGCGTGACGCAACCCAAGGGCACCTTTAAGGGAGAAGAGAAAAAACATCAAATAGTCAATGATTGACCAAGTTAATGATAAGTTCAACCATGTCATTTTCACAGGGTAAATTCAACTACTAAATTCAGTAAAAATATTATATTCCTATCGAAAATAATAATCTCTTTCCAGCATTGAGCTTTATAAAGATAATGACAGTATATGAAAAGAAAAAATATGTTCATAATATTATAAATGGTTGATGTCAACTATTATCCCAAATATTAAACTAAGAAACCATTTGATGAGATTCACTCAATTAAGCCTACCCCATTAAGTCATTTGGCCAAATCCCTTAATGAGAATTAGGTCATTTACTCGGCAAGCACTATAAAAAGCAAAGCAATAAGTAAGGAAATTGCCAAATCTTTAACCATTGATAAAGCATCATCAAAATCCTCTATGCATGTATTGAAATTGTTGGAGATAGAAAAAGGGAAAAAAAGGGAGAAGAAAGAAGCATGTTAACAAATCAGATAGCATACTTTTATGACCTTTTGGCTAATTTAATGGTTAATGAAGACATCTTAAACAAGATAAGATAAAGAGATGAGGGAAATGTTGGATGGAGGCATGGAGGAAGAAAAGGCTAGATAATAAATAAGCCAAAAACAAACCTTAAGTATTTCACCTAAAGCCTCTTCAGGCGCCATTCTCAGACCTCCTTTCCCCAAACCGAGCCGCTGAGATAACACTGCTCAGCTTTGAAGCCACAAATAACTCTCGTTAATGACCATTAAACAGTGCAAACAAGCAAGTCAACAAATTCATCTTAGAGCCTACTCACAAGAAGATAACGAGGATCACAAAATTATACATACCTTTCAAATCTACTTTGGTATCTGCTAGAGCAGAAACAATATAAAACCTTTGCTTCTTGTCCTGTTTGATAGTTGCAGTTATGAGGTAATGCATAAATCATTGAACAGACCAAAAATTAACATTTTGCCACAATGAATACAAGGGAATTTAGTGCCATTTTTTAAACACAACACACCTTCAAGAATAAGTTTTTACTTAGCCCTCCCCCCTTGTTTCCAACATATTTGGCCTGCGGTAAAACAAACCGGAATTGAAAAAATAGATCAAATACATATATGCACCATATACAGGAACAGAACATAACAGCTAAGGGGTTTTACCTGAGCCTCAACTGTCAAAACAACTGGATGTTCATACTTGGAAAACTCAATCTGAAGCTCCTGGAAAACAAGAAAATACAAATCACAACAGTTGCTCCCAAGCAGAAAAGGATAAGGCGTCGCAAGTATTTATGTCAAGTTGCAACTGAATAGTTGTATAGCGAGCCCTTGCATTACAACAGTGCATGTGTACTATAACTATATGCATGCATCGAGATCCAAGTCCGAAAAGCTTGGATATATTTCAGACGTTCTATATCAAGTACCACACAGCTCAATCATGTACAAGCTTAACCACAACTATGCAATATAGAAATTTGAAACACCCCCGGCACCCCCCACCCCCCCGGGGGGGGGTGTTAAGGCAATTCAATAGGAGTCTAAAAGAGGAAATTGGGGCAATAAAAACTAGGATGACAAAGGAAAACCTGTAAGCGGGCAAGCAGCTGTTCCTTCGAATAACCCATGACCAACGAAAGCTGAGGCGTTTCAGGTCAGGGGTAGAGCTCTGAGTCGACTGATAGGAGACGATTCAGTGATTGTCTTCGAACGCGATAACAGCAGAAGTGCCGACTGCCGACTTCCGAGCCTCAGAGTTTGACAGAATTCGGAGCTCCGCCAAAATCCTTGGGGTTGCTGCTGCAGTGCTGGGCAACCGGACTTCCAGAATATCAGGCCCAACGACGTTCTAATGGGCTCGATCCATCTTAGATGGGCCCACATGGACATTCAAGATATTACCTTTATGTCATCTTCTTACTGTATCAAAAAAAAAAATCAATTCTTACCCAAAAAAAAATATTATCAATTAATAGATATGTTTCGTCGAAAAATTGCCATCTTTATATACATATACCAAACACCGATTTTTTGGTCATCCAACACCGGTTTGTTGATAAATCAATGCTTATATCAACAACAGGATGCGTATGTCCAATAAGGAAAATTATTAATGCATATAATAATGGGATAAAAAAATGCATACAATAAAATTGATAACAAGTTATAATATGTACAAATCAGACTATATGCAATGAACTTGGGCTAATAAAAAACCATATACAATGTACAGTTAAGTGTGGTTGAATTAGTTTTATTTTGGTTATAAGGAATTTTGGAAGTAAAAAATAACAATACAAGATACCACTATAAACAAAATTTTACAGAGGGCCCATCAAATAAAATTTTAGATTTTGTGGATTTTTCACGGATCATACAAGGTTGGATATATAAATAGTACTGTTTCCGGTTTACAATTTATAAAGGGAGGCGGGTATAGATTGTATGATTTATAGGGATGTTGATACTAACGGATAGATTTAACATTGAGTTCTAAATAGATTAGTTTTAAGAATTAAGAGGAGTGTAGTGAGATACCGATCTAAACATCTCTGTTTTGTTTGTGCGGAGTTCGAGTACGTAGCACTCCTTCACGCGGCGCCTCTGATTCTGAGCTTCTGACGGCGCCTGATTAGTTTGATACTATGAGCGCCGTGTTCACTCCTCATCGTTGGCACATTTTGGACCAAATTCTGCCGTTTTTCAATATTGGGGGCAGGGCAGGCCAGAATACGTGTGACCTTGTCTTGTCGAAGGACAACCACTTGCAGTCTAAAATTATGAGTATGATCCAACATGTAACCTGCTATTTATAGAGAAGCTTTATGCCACTTAGTCATTGACGAAATGTTTTGATATTAATATGTTAAAATTTTGCATCGGGATGGCCTCTCCAATTCCAAACGGCGTTGTACCAAACCTTGAGGCACTCCTAGAATTAGAAAGAGCACGCTGCATTATTAATACTCACAGAATCTATAATATACCACATTGAAATCTGGCTCTCCATATTTGATTAAGCAGCCCTTCACAAATTCGTGTCTCAATAAGGCCAAGCTTGTATAACTAAACTCGTGCTTAATTAATGTTGGATCTAGACTCCCAACCCTCTTCCCACTACTGTGTTTCCTTTTGGCAGGCACATTATATTCTTTCCCTCTATTGTCATGTGAGAAATCAGTGAACCCACATGGACCCTCGTAAACAATTATCTCTTTCTAATCCATGCTTTATTTATACAGTGATATGCTTAATCAGTCCCCCAAATACCATTTCCTGGAAATCACGTCATAGGTAGAAAAATATATATGACCATTGCTTGGTTCTACACGGGAAGCATCTCCTAGCTTGTATCAGTGTAAGATCGTATTACTGTCTAATAAACAATTAGCATAATATCAGAGTGTTGGGAACGATTTCATTGATATTAAAAAAAGCACCAACCATGCACCAGATCTACTATGATCTCGGATTGATCGTGGCTTTGGAATCACATGCTGTTTCTGAAATTGCAACATTGTGACATTGTCATTATGGTGCATAGCATTTTCATTTGCAAAAAGGGAAAAAGAAGAAGCTCGTTGTTGCAGTAGGAAGACAAGGAAAACCTTCGCCCCTGTTCGCGCATATGATCAGTGAGCAAGTTATAAAAAATCAAAAGCAAAAGTTTTCTTCTGAAAATTTTCATTGTCATGAGGAAATAGCTGGTAGAAGGAAGCCAGCTTTATTTTGTCTTTTAAGACCAGATGCAGTGTAGAAAGAACAACTGAGAATGGAACCCCATGCCCTTCCCAAGTTCACAAAGGGACAGGTCATGTGCTGATCAGGTTCAAAAGTTGGCTCCAAAGCGTCAAAGTTTGTCTACCCTTCTTATTTTTGTAAAGAAGAAGATCTTGCATATAATATTCTCTACACATTAAACCCAAAAGAAAGACTTGCTTGCGCTGCAAGTGGTGCATCAGAAAATGTTGACTAATACATATGCTGCTTCATCGAACAACAAAGACATCTCTTTTATCTCTAATTATTTTCCAATTGCCTTTTATATAAGCTAAATCAACTAAATACATTAATTCCCAGCAGAAATATTGATTGCCCCATCCGGATTTATTCTCTGTTTTTTTCCTTTAAAGAAAGGAATTGGAGACGAAGCAACTATAGGGTTTATACCCAGTTTCTAATTAGAGAAGTAAAGCACATAGAAAGGCAATACCAAACTTACAAGTCGAAACAACGACACACAACCCCATGTTCTCTTGGCATGCAGGAGAGCAGACAATGCTATACAAAGGACACAATTCCCAATAATTTCAAGTTTCCACATTGTACAACGGTTCTTTTGGCACGCAGGAGCAGACAGCGGTTCTCTTGCATCTTGTCGTGCAACTAATAAAGAGCTTTCCCACCATCCTCAAAGGACTCAATATTGCTTCCATTTCTATATTGTGTGGTAACAAACAATATTAGTAATATTATCTTAAATAGAGGAACATTGATGCGCATTTGTTTTTGTTTTCTTCCTAAAAATAAATTTCTTACATTCAAAATAATAAAGGAAGCCGTAATGACGGTGCCTAAATTGAAATGTGCAGAAATTCACATCAGAGACTTCAAATTCTGTCTCATCTCTACATGAGTTTCTTCAACATTTATACGACATAAATTTAGTCACAGTCAGTAATATGAACTAGGAAGGAGGAGTTTGCGTTGGCTTGAAAATCTCTCAGCAGAAACTCCAGAGACTGATATTGGTTTCGTCGTACAGGTCATCGAGCAGCTGGGGTGAATAGAAGTCAAAAGAAGCACCCCTTAGTATTTGATCCACATATTTGGGGGATTGTAGCCCTTCAAGGCCGTACCAAGGTTCCATCGCAGCCATTGGTTCATTGGGGTGATCATAGCCAAAGAAGGCCTCAGAGGATGAGACTAATGAAGCGTCATCATCAACCAGATCAGAGGAAGAGGAAAGCATTGATGAAGACGAGACTGATGAGGAAGAGGCTGAAGCAGGAGGAGGAGAAGGTGGGGTGGTGGCATTATCAACACGAGCATTAGCAGCAGCTGCAGCTACTCTTTGGATTGATTTAGGGGACAGAAGAGTGTCTTGAGGAATATGGAAGTGCGAAGAAGAAGAAGAAGGGAAATTGAGATTTGCAGAGGAGCCTTTCAGGCAGAGAAGTGCAGCGTCATAGGCTCTGGCTGCTGCCTCAGCAGTTGAATAAGAGCCTAGCCATATTCTTGTTTTCTGGTTAGGTGCTCTAATCTCGGACACCCATGATCCCCAGCTCCTCATTCTCACTCCCTTGTACTTCTTCCCATATGATGCGCTCTGCTTCCCCCTCGACGCTTCCTCCTGGATCTTGGCTTCTCTCTTCACCATTTTCTTCAAGATCAGTGATTTGTGCTAAGGGTGTCTTCAAGAAGTCTCTCTTGGCTCTCTCTTGTGGAAAACTTCTCTCTTTTTTGCCCTTCTCAAAGTATCAGATCGCAACTGAGTGTGAGGATGAAAAAGTCCGTATTTATAGATGGAGGCTTGCCTTTGAAGATAGCCGATTAATAATTAATCCGTCTGCTATCGCCCATATTCAAGATTTGACGTCACCGCCAGATGGTTTCTGGCTATTAATTTTAATATTCAATTATGTTTGTAAAGTGACTTCTCTGTCCTCTCTTGCCGAAGCTTCCTTCATCTTGCAGTTTTACTGTTTCTGATGTTACTGTGCAAGGACAAAAAAGTATATATCATATTCAAGTGCTGGCTGTTGGTCAATTGAAAGTATTATTTATCTTCCTGTAAGAGAGCATTTGATTTAGTCAATTGCATGAATGCTACGGGGAGAAAAAATGTTGATATTAATTATACCGTCAAGTTTGCGAGCGGGAGAAGTGAATATACCGATGACTTTATGGGAATTACTGGTATGAGTTACGGCCAAGGACAGCGAAGAATTAAATGTGCGGCCACACCACCGTAACTAAAGACCTGAATCCTGCGAACCATTGAAGAATCATAAATGAAAGGACATCATTAATCGCATTGTCTAATTTAGTTCTGACTTCACCCCCAGTCAAGACTAAAGACCCAACATATACGCCGCAGGTTGAAGTGAGAAGTACAAGGGTAAATGTGTAACTTGGCAACGACAATGATAGTGTTTGATTAGTATATATTATCTTTTTAGTATTCACGGAAAGAGACAGATATGATTGATTAATTCAAATGACGGAAGGAAAGAGAGGAACATTAATAAATCAAAGGAGGGAGCTTCCAGGATACGCAGGTGAAGTAAAAGCTGTTGTGCACAAAAAGGCAGGCGTTAAAATAATAAATACTGAATAGCAGCAGAGTCAACAAAGAAACAGAAGTAGACGCGCAAGGCATCAGTGAAGGAAGGCCATTTGCAGATGTAATCACAGCTCTCACTCCAGCTGGTGCCTCTCTGTATGTTCTCTGTTCAAAAACCGCGTTATTCCATTGCCATGGACCCTCCTCCCCATGCAAACTGCTCGTGTTTTGCTCTCCAAATTGCTGAAAACTATCATTATCAATCCATCGAGCATTAGGGATTGGTGATGAAATTTAATTAACAGGGGTCAAAAAAAAAAAAAATCAGCAGCAGCAACAATACTACTTGTTACCATTGGATTCTTATTGTCACTGTCAAGTACTAACTCGACTTTCATTTTGCCCACTTTTATTATATTTGTGATTTGAATCTTTTAGCTGATTTTAAGGTTTTGGTCCGATTCCGTGTTGGTGTTGCATTCAACTTTTGTGAAATGTCGCCAGCACGCTTGCAGGAGGATAGGTGGCGTGGCTAAACACAACTTGTTTTTTTCCCCTTTTTTTTCCTAAGATGTTCTTGTGGAGGGGAAAGAAATGAGAACGACCGTTTCTAATTGAGTTGGAGTTTTCACGCGTCGTGTTTTGTCAACTTTACAGCGAAGTTTTTGGTAACTGTCATTTTATATATAGCTAGGTTCCTGAGTCAGAGGTTTGATAAATATCCAAATATAAAAAGATTCCCATTGTTTTTCAGGCCACATTTTTTTCCCTTAATCAATCTAAACATGTCTTAAGAACAATCTTGTTGGGATCTTGTACTTAATCAACCACGATTCTTTCCGCTGGATGTTAATTATTACAAATCATTACCGACAGTATTCTCATAATAATCTGAAATTGGTCTGGTTGGGCCTATGCCCTGTGTGATCTTTGGACTGAAAATAAACCCATGTGAGACGGACATTGATAATAGCGAATCAATAATAGTCGCAATTTGCACTCTCAGATATAAATCAAGTGTTCGTGTGTGAATGGAACTGTATCATCGAATCCGTACGAGTCATTGTCATTGCGCTTGCACACTCATCATTGCTCATCAACACCTCTCTATTTAAACATGGTCATTTTCAGAGAAGGAGATTTTTGAATAAAATGATGGAATAAATTTTATTTATTATCAACATAAAAGATTTATTATGCTCATAACCATCTCTTTGCATGTTTGAATAATACGTGATCAGGTTGATTTTAATTAATTCTATCTAGACTGATGTGGCAAAATTAATCTAAATATATATTGAGTCAATTATTAACGCCGTTTCTTTCATATATTACCAAATTATATGAAATATAGAGAGATGCGCGTATAAATTGATTCCCAACATTGTCACCGTAGAAATTATCTTGTCTGTCGTTTAAAATTTGGCGGTCAAATAGGAAGTCATATAAATTTAGGCACCAACAAAATCTGAACATATTTAATGATTTTTTGATAAAATTATGGAGTTTATGGCTTAATTGATTTGACAGTCACAACATTCATCCTCAAATGACAAAAACAGAAATTTTGCATCGCTTTAATTTAACGTTGTATTAATGAAGAGAAAAATTTGATGGTTAATTACAAAATCATCAAACTTAAGATGCAATTTGAAAAATAAATACTTAATCGTCAAATAGTTTCATTTGATGTAGTGATTCATCTGCCCGTGTCAAACAGAGTCGGCGCGAATTTGAGAGGGAGAGCCTTGCGTCTTTCATCAGAACGAAATGAGGGGTTAATTTTCTATTTTATAATATTCGGTTGCGGCTTTCAACTCTATAGAAGACTGCCTCCCTTTCATAAGGCGTATATCACTTACACTGGCCCACAGACTCTATTTATTTGCATAATTAACCTTACTTCCTTAAGTGGTTCCTTAAATAGGCCTGAGTCCTAATCCACTAAAGGTGGATTTGATAAAACCTAATAACAGTGTCGCATCCTTCCTTAAAAGTTCTATTCTCCTGCACAATCCTCGACCTTGAGTATATTTTTCACTCATTTCGCAAAGCTTTCTTCCATTGTGCACCTGTTCTGTTTTTAAATCTTAGTTTTCTTTTGTGGTTCTTTTTCGACTTTGGACTCAATTCTGTTCGCCTCTTTTGATTTGCTTCAGGGTGAGTTTCACAAATTTCCCTACTCTTAATCAGTCATCTTCTTTTTAATTGCTTAGGTTTGAATTGAATGGCTAAATTACTTATTGTCCTGGCTCTTGAAAAGTTTATGAGAGATTTAAGGAGATAAAGACACAAGGGTTAGACATATTATTTGGTTTCATTGGAAAATTTTCAAAATATTTAGTGCCTCCTTTGGATCACAATTGGATATTTCAAAAGCATTTATTTATGTAATTTGAAATAAAAATTTTTTTACATACTTATTTTGTATTTCGTAAATTATTATTTTTAAAGAATTCGTCTAATGTTCCAAACAAGCAGTAAGTTCTCTAATCTCAAGTAAGGTATGAAAATTGATATCGAGTGACGTGTTATTGGCTTGAGAATTGTTTATGAATTTTGCGGGCAGCCTGAAAATGATTGTTAGGACAAAAAATATATGTTTGGAATAGTTTATTATGGTGACTTTCTTGTTTTAGTGAATTTTCAATTTTATTAGTTTTTTTTCTTCACTTTGGAACCATCAGAATTATTCTTTGCACTTGCCCGACACTAGAAAGCACACCTTCACTATTCTTAGTCATCTCCTCTGGTTCTATTGTATCTCCTTCAAATTACTATTCACTAAAAAGCGAGTCTCTAAAAACCGTAAATGTTTAACTTAATGCTTGGTAAGAATTTGATATTTATATTTTCTGCAATAAATAGTCAGCCTTTTACAGAATTTAGAAAAAAGATTATTATTAACATTCATTCACTTATATATAACTTTTGGCCATATATATTCACTTGCTTATATTAATCTATCTAATTTGATCAGATCGCGGTGGTTTCGTCATTTTGATAATGTCCAGAATAATTTTATATTCGTTCCCTCAACAGCATAAAATTGCCAATAATAAATTCTTCTCAAAAACTCACAACGTGAACCCAATACTCGTTGCAAGGCCAAATTATTCTATATTTACTTCTTAGCATAAAAGCCTCATGAAATTTTATTTCAGAATTTCATTAATAGGTAACCTGTAATTATCTTTTTTAAGCTGTGAAGGCTTTCCTTATTTTTTTTTCCAGAAAATGAAAATGAAACAATGACACATTAATCCATAGTTACTATTGTTGTACGTCCAAATGGTCAACTGTTTCGTGTCAAAAGTTAGAATCTAAACCGTTCCCTGCAGCCACCCAAGTACGTATAGCAAACAATGAATTTTCCAGAAGATTTATTTCCAGTAACTGCCGCTAACGCATGCATTCTCACATGAACCAGTCCACGCCTTCGTTAATCCAAATTCCGAACCAATTAAACTCTCTTCTGAATTTGCCATTCATCATTCATCCTCTCTCTCACCGTCTCTGTCTATAAGTAAGGTTTTGAGAAGTAGAGCTGTAGGCCATCACAGTTTCCGTGTTGAGTTGCAAACCATTCTTCGTCTCTCGTTCAGCCTCAAGTTTGTCTGTCTTCACCCATGGCGCACGTTACCCAACTTCCCTGCGATTGCGACGGCGTTTGCATGGCTTGCAAGGCGAAGCCGGTGGAGGAGGAGAAGCTGACGTGTAAAACTTGCGCCAGCCAGTGGCATGTCGTTTGTCTTTCCACCCGTCCGGCAACAGTGGCGGATACTGTTCAATGGGAGTGTTCAGATTGTTCTAGCCTACCATCTGAACTTCAGCTGGCCAATGAGAAGACCTCGCAAGAGGGAGCTGGGGATTTGATGGCTGCAATTAGAGCTCTTGAGGCCGATGCCTCACTGACTGAGACGGAGAGGGCCCATAAGCGGCAACGACTTCTGAGCGGAAAGGCCTTGTTGGAAGAGGACGAGGACGAAGAGGAGAAGAAGGGAGAAGGAGAAGACTTGCTGGATATTCTAAATGGAACTCTCAAATGCTCGTTCTGTCTGCAGCTGCTAGACAGGCCTGTCACGGTAACTTCGGATTCCCTTTGGTACTTTACTAGTGGCAATAATATTTTTGTCTGTTAATCTTCGATGAATGTGAATATCTAAATTATATTTTATTCTCTGCATTTTGCTTCGCCAGCATATATAACCCTTTGCGGGTAGCTCGTTCTCTAAAATAAGGGTCCCATTTAAAACGAATGAGTTCATTTTCCTTTGTTTTTCTCCTAGATTTTTTTTCTTGGTGGCCAAGTAGTTTTCTCATAATTCGAACGCTTTCATTTGCAATATGTGAGATATCTAGAGGGCATTCTAAGGAGACCTTCGATCCTTATCTTCTGTCCTTTGGTTACATGGGTGTAGCCCCTTCGTATTATATATGTCATCTGTTATAGTTTTTGATAGGAAAGGCGATGATTAGCATATATTATCATATCTCATTCTCATGGGCTAATAAGAGATCTAATCGAACGTTTTCATTCAGACTCCGTGCGGGCACAATTTCTGCCTAAAATGCTTCCAGAAATGGATCGGGCAAGGCAAAAATACATGCCCAAAGTGTCGTACCATAATCCCTCCCAAAGATGAAAGCGAGATTCGTATTAATTCTGCTCTTGTAAGTGCCATTCGTATGGCAAAAGCTTCCAAAGTTAATGTTGCTGGAGAAACTTCGAAAGTCTACCATTTCGTACATAACCAAGATAGACCAGACACAGCATACACTACTGAGCGGGCCCAGAGGAATGGCAAAGCAAACGCTGCAAGCGGGAAGATATTTGTAACAGTGCCTCAGGATCATTTTGGTCCAATCCCAGCCGAGAATGATCCATTGCGGAATCAGGGTGTGCTTGTTGGCGAATGCTGGGAAGACAGGCTCGCATGCCGGCAATGGGGTGCCCACTTCCCACATGTTAGTGGTATTGCCGGGCAGTCAAATTATGGTGCACAATCCGTTGTTCTTTCCGGCGGTTATGTCGATGATGAGGATCATGGAGAATGGTTTCTTTACACAGGAAGGTTCGTACATGGTTTCCCAATTGTTGAACTGCATGTAGGGTTTCATTTAGCTATTCCCTGTTCATTGCTCTCTAGTTTTTGCTGGTTTAGCCTATGGGGCTTGTAGTGAATGTGCTCGTTGTTCTTTCAGAATGCATGGTTGCTAAACTTCTCCTACTTGCCTCGCTGTTTATGCCAAAGTACCAAAGCATGGCTACAGTAAAGAGCTGAAAACATATTATATGTGCTTTGAATAGTTGTGCTGTCCCTCCTTTCTGACAGTTTTATTTCTTTCGTTGGTTCTATGGGAAGTACCTATATTGGAATTGTGTAACTTAACTCGGGCAATTTTTCCCATTTCTTGTATCTTTAAACGGCCAGTCATTTTCATTCTATCTCATTACATTTTGAACCCCTTTGATTAATGTTTTTTCTTATGCCTTGCTCATATTGTCCATTGTTGCAGCGGTGGTAGAGATCTAAGCGGCAACAAACGCACCCATAATGTTCAGTCTTTTGATCAAACGTTCAAGAAGTCTAACTTGTCGCTTAAAGTAAGTTGTCTAAAGGGGTACCCTGTCAGAGTATTAAGGTGAGCATCCAGATCAAGAGCAGCTCTCTTTTCGGTCCCTCCATCTTTGGAGTATTTGATGTTGTCGTAGTGCATTTATACGTTGCTTGACGGCATCGTGCGTGCTATTTAACATAAGTAGGTAGACAAATTACGCTAACATTATAAACCACATTTCATTTGAACTTGTTCTTTAAAATATGTTTTCTAAGTGTGGATACGGTAGGAAACAAGTGAGCTGAACTTTTATAAAGTATATGTAGGTCTGCGTTAAAGTCCCAAATATAAGCTCAACTTGTTGAATTGTGGAGATTATCGTTTAGCCATTTGAGAAGGCTCATATTGAGATTTATGTGTAAACTCTTCTTAAATTCCAATATAGATCTCACAAGGAGCGACGATCCTCGTACGCCCCGGAAAAGGGGATAAGATACGACGGCGTGTATAGGATTGAAAAATGCTGGCGGAAACAAGGATGCCAGGTATATTTTGCCATCTATTGATTGTTTGATATTGCTGGACTGGTTCTTATTTTGTGCAAGTTTTCTGATACCATATGGTTATGTATCCAGGGCTTCAGGATTTGCCGTTATTTGTTTGTCAGATGTGATAACGAGCCCGCTCCATGGACGAGGTATTTGTTATGTCACTTTGCTGATTTTATGTTCTTATACGGTCTGTAACTACATTTGTTAAATTATATTAAATGGCACAAAGCGATGATCATGGTGATCGCCGAGACCATTACCAGTAATTCGCGAGTTGAATGAGGCAGAAGACATAGTTGAAAGGGAAGATTCTCCATCTTGGGATTTTGATGTAAGTGCTGTTTTTTTTGTTTTTTTCCTGATGCTAGATGTAAGTGCCCTTTAGAGATTATTATTTTGTTGTGATTTTCTATGACTTCAATTTTTTCTGACATTGCTTACCATATGAGATTAATTATAAGAAATATTATGATGCAATCAGAACCTTCAGAAAATCTAAATAATTAATGATTTCTTTAGGAGCAGGATTTTTGTTGGAAGTGGAAGAAACCACCGCCTCCAAGCAAAAAGCGTGTAAAAAGTATGGATCCAATGGAGATTGAAAGGTCAAGGAAAGAACTAAGGAAATCCAAGAATATATCAATTAGAGGAAGCTTGTTAAGAGGTATGATTTCGTCGCCAAGCTCTATTTTGGTCAACTTATCACTTACATCTGCTCTCTATATATCTAGTTTGTTCCAACCAGTTGAACTATAATAATATGCACATATCCATGGCTGTTTTATTTTAATGCTGTTTTGTTTCCATGCGTAGGATTGAAATGTCTTATTTGTGGGGGAGTTCTGGTTTGTCCTGTAACCACACCCTGTGCCCATAATTTTTGCAAGTCATGTTTAGAAGCAGCATTCGCGGGCGTACCTTTCATCAAAGAGAGAAACAGAGGCGGAAGGTCGCTTCGTTCACAAAAGAATGTGCGAAAATGCCCTGCTTGCCCCACCGACATTTCTGATTTTCTTCAGAATCTTCAGGTTGGTCAAGCATGATTTGCTCTCAACATATCGAATTTACAAACTGGTTTTTAAGCTCATCTGGCTGCATGCCTGTCTAACAGGTTAACAGAGAGTTGATGGGTTTAATTGACTCGCTGAAGGAAGAGACTAAAGAGAACAAAGATTCAGCAGACTTGATCGGTGAGAACTCAGGCGGAGTCGAAACTGGCGTTGAGAAAGGTGAAGAAATTGATTCAGATGAATGCGGGGAGCAAAAAGAGCCGGAGCAGTAATGTTGTCAAACTTTGGCGATCTCTAGAGGCGTAGAATAGGAATATGTGTGCATGAGACTGTTTTTAATTACGTTTTATCGAAGGAACAACTATCCTCAGTTTGATAGCTCTATTCAAATACAATAAAAATAGTCTGTCATCGTTAAGTTCAGAGGATTTTTTATTGTGACTCATTAGTATTTTGTTCATGAATGTCAATATAGAATTTTATCTGAGTACTAAATGACATTCCATTCTTAAGGGAAAAATAATAATAATAAAATTGATCTTTGAACTAGAAATGTTCATAAATTCTAATTGAAAAAAGGTGTTTCCAATCTTGAACTCCTCATTAAAGTGAATTTATTGTGGTTAATTCAAAGGTAAGACTTTGGATCTTGAAAGGAAAAGGGATCAAATGAAAGACGATGCAGACACTGTTTTTCTCTTTTTTCTCCAAATCCTACGCAGTGGAGGATGCTTCTCATGAAGAAACAAATGCCGTCACCTCGTTGAAGATTCCGTGGATGAGCTCAAGGAACTTATCACAGACTCGTATATCTTGATCCCCCTCATGTACACAGTATCTTGTAGGTGCTGCAAGAGAAGGCCATGGGAGTCAGATTGAAGAAGAAATTATCATCAAGAGCGAGCGGAATAGCAGGAGAGAAGCTTAATGACGGAGGATTAGGAAAAATGTCAAACCTCATTGTGGTCATGAAGCAGTATGGGAGTATTTGTCATTGGTGAGAAGCCAAGAACAGGAATTCCTTTCTGTCTAACATATCTAGAATCAGTTGTTGAAGCAAGAATTTCAGGCTTCGCAAGTTTTCCTCCAGCTGATGTGATAGCCTGCTCGAAAACTAACCACCATGGATTGGAATCATCAGTTCGGGTCATCATGGGGCGTCCCATGTTGTCTCTAATGGGTCCCTTCTCTTTTATCTGCCAGACATCAAATGCTATGTATCAGCCATTTTCCACATCTTTGGTTGCACATAGGTGAGGCAAATAATTGCAGTCCAGAAATTAAAAGCGAAGACAATGGTCAGAGAGTCACAGTTTTCTCATTAATTATTACCATTATTTGGTTTCTGAAGTCGAACCAAAGTTTTTCAGCGCGCAAAAATGCAGAAACGGGTTCAGTCCTTGCGCGCTGTTTATTTGATTCGAGGTCATCGGTAATGAAATAGGGAGAATTGCAATAAAATCCCAAGTAAAAAACATAACTACGAAGAAGTTCCAATGACAATAAAATTTCTTGTAATGACAAGTTTTAAAATAATGAATGACAACAGCTCACTTGTCAATGGGATTTTTTTAATAGTTATATTCTTTACTTGGGACCTCATTGCAATTTTTCCTATAAAATATCATATAAAAGTCTAACAACCATACCATAATACAAAAGGAAGTGAAGTATCTCATGTTGGAAACTAAATTCACTTTTGAACCTCAGAGAATTTTAAAAAGGATAGAATTTGATTCAGAAGATGACCCAAAATCATGTGCTCTGTAGAAGGTCATCTCATGCACGAGCGGGTCATAAATTTTCATGTTAACGCAGCAGAATTTGAAATCTAGGCTGCCAGCATAACTGTTTGAGGCCAAAGCACGTCTAGTAGGGGGGGAAAATCCAGGCACAAGGCATTTTAATCGATTCTTAAAGATTGAATATCAATCTGACATGCCACGGTAAAGTTCTTCCCACAGACACAATGTGATGAGCATAAGCCCAAAGGGAGAGTCCAATCCCAAAAGACTAGTCTATTGGGAGGGAGAGCCCCTTGAACTTATAAATCCCACAATACTTGTGAGATTCCCCAATGTGGGACTCATAACAGAGCACCCCTCTCGAGAGCCGACGTCCCCGGCGGCTCCACTCTACGGCACTTCACTCGGTCTTCTTACCGGTCAGAACCCTCCGCAGGTAGCCCTTTCCGGTTAGCCAGCTCTCAACGAAAGCACCAATGTGATGAGTATAAGCCCAAGGGGAGAGCCCAATCCCAAAAGACTAGCCTATTGGGAGGGAGAGCCCCTTGAACTTATAAACCCCACAACACTTGTGAGATTCCCCAATGTGGGACTCATAACAGAGCACCCCTCTCGAGAGCCGACGTCCCCGGCGGCTCCACTCTACGGCACTTCACTCGGTCTTCTTACCGGTCAGAACCCTCCGCAGGTAGCCCTTTCCGGTTAGCCAGCTCTCAATGAAAGCACCAATGTGATGAGCATAAGCCCAAGGGGAGAGCCCAATCCCAAAAGACTAGCCTATTGGGAGGGAGAGCCCCTTGAACTTATAAACCCCACAACACTTGTGAGATTCCCCAATGTGGGACTCATAACAGAGCACCCCTCTCGAGAGCCGACGTCCCCGGCGGCTCCACTCTACGGCACTTCACTCGGCCTTCTTACCGGTCAGAACCCTCCGCAGGTAGCCCTTTCCGGTTAGCCAGCTCTCAACGAAAGCACCAATGTGATGAGTATAAGCCCAAGGGGAGAGCCCAATCCAAAAGACTAGCCTATTGGGAGGGAGAGCCCCTTGAACTTATAAACCCCACAACACTTGTGAGATTCCCCAATGTGGGACTCATAACACACAATTAACCTGATGTTATTTCTAGAACTAAAAAATGAATTTCTTCTGGCGCAAAATCCCACAAATCATGATATCAAGCAGCATATGGCTTCTAATTAAGGACCCAGTAAACCGATTATTGGGACCTTTGCCTAGAAAAAAAATATCAATTTGCAATTCCTCCAATCGAGTTTGGCATTGCATGCAGCAATGATTGGACCAGGAGCACACAGAGTAAAAAAGAAAGTTCCAAAGGAAGCAAAACTGGATAAAAAAACACGAGAGTACAAAGGAATGTTAAACACAAAGCCAGAGCCCAGAAAAATTTTCAAAACGCCTGCCAGACAAGTTCATTGAAAAAGACATTTATGACGCTGTCATTCTCGCATTTTCATCAACCATTGCTTCACATAACCATGTTTATAGGTGCTTTTGAACATGACGACTTGATTCATCAGAGAAGGGCATTCAAAATTTCAAATATAAAGAGGGTATTAACAGTACAACTATTAGTCATAAGCTAGTTGGGTGGTTCTGTATTTAGTTAGGCAAGTTGTTGAGAGTCATATGCCCTCAGTGTATTATGCATAAATACTGTACATGTCACACAATTAATGAAATGTTCAGTTCCCTTATCTCTCTTGCTCTTCATTTTCTCGAAACCTGACCGGGGAAAGAACCAACTTCATCTGAGACAACTGACTCACTCGTTGATAGTCCCGCATGTAAGCGCAGTCTACACATGAAAGTTGACCGATGGCGACAGAACATAAAATTCATCAGATTCACAAGCAGCACCCAATCCTTTCAATATTTTGCACAATTTATGTTGTTCAATATGTAAAGGCGACCCAACTCCCATTTCCCGTTGAGGTAAACGAAAATCAGATGTCGGGGGCATTTTACCTCATATGACAAGTTTCTGGTGGCTGGTGCCCATTCTTTTGCAATCCTTCTTCTCATTTCTTCTGGATCAGCAGTAGGGGGTAGCCTAAGATCGAAACCTGCTTCAGCTTCTGAAGGCTGCACATTCATTGCAAATCCCTAGACAGACACCACACACCATTTATTTCAAGTTATTTTCGATATCAGAAGCATCATCCATTTCGAGATAAATGTGTTCATGCAACTCACAGTTAGTGAAGGAACCCCGGCTTTCAAATAAACGGGGTTAATCGAAATAACTTCGGAATTAGCAGCTTCACCGGACTTGACGACATCAAACTGACTCTCTCTAAACTTACTTATAACCTCACAACTCTTCATCAAGTTCTCCATCGCACTATTATCATACATCCTCGACCCATGCCCAGGTGGTCCTTTCGCTTTAATTTTCACTTCCCATGGCGTCCTATCCGCATAGAACACCCTAAATTCATCACCAGGCGAGGCCTGTCCTTCATCCAACATAAACCCAACATTTAAATCCTCAAACTCCTTCGAATCCACAAACTTGGCAGCTCCCTCAAACCCACCAATCTCCTCGTCCGGCACATAGGAAAAGTGAATCGTGCGGGTAGGCGTGAAATCCTTCTCTTTCAGATTCCGAATCGCCTCTAAATATTGCATCGCAATGCATTTATCGTCCTGAGCTCCACGGGCATAGATTCTCCCGTCGGGCGTACGGACGGCAGCGAACGGCGGGTGGATCCACTTGGAGGGCTCGGCAGGGACGGAGTCAAGGTGGGAATTGAAGAGAAGAGAAGGAAGAGAAGGATCGGAGCCAGGCCATGTGAGGAGAAGAAGGGGCTTACCGGGAGAGAACTCTAGAACTTGATGTTGGATGCCAATGGAATGTGCTTGAGATGTAAGAAAGGAGACAGCTGAAGAATAATCGGGTTCTGGATGTGCGGTCTTGATTCTGAGGTATCGCTGGAACCGAGTGATGGGCGTGTCATCTTCTTCTGGGTGGTGGTTGTAGGACTGAGGCGCGGGTACTGAAGCTGCAGAGAGGATCAGTGATGTCGAGAAGAACAGAGTATGGTAAAGAAGCAACAAACGAGAACAGCGAGGGGCAGCCATGCAGAGCCAAAGTCACAGAGAGATAGTTGGCTCTTGACGGAGGAGACCCGGCAAATCTTCCACACTCCTCTCCCGCATTTAAGCATTTATTCTTAAATGATTAGATTCTCATTTGCGAGCGTCATCGATCTCTTTACGTTGGGTTAGATTCTCATTTGTTAGTTTTCATAGCAGAATCTTAGCATTATTTCACTGGAGAAGCTTTAATTTTCAGGCGTTGAAAAAGAAAACATTAAAGCATTGGAGAGGAAAAAAACTTGAGAATGATTTAAATCAAATATTGACCCTCAATGTGTACAGAAGTTATAGAATACTAGTACTTTTAATATATAAAAATTTATCGAATTTTTTCATCCATAACATTTTTAAATAGAAATTTTTTTTGCCTGAAATATAACCTTTTTTCTTTTTACAATTGTCACACAAAAACAAAGGAAAATTCCAGGAAGAACATGAAATTAGCATTTTTTGATTTAGGAACCTAACACTCCAAAATAACAGAAAAGGAAGTAAACCTAAATTAAAATTTAAAAATTTAAAAAAATGACAATAATAAATCCTGATTATGAAATGACAGATCTTGATTTAGAATTAACAACACTTTTTTATACATAACATATCAATTAATTAAAAATGACAACAATTCATTTAAAAATAACAAGTTCTAATTGTGAAATTAGAAATCCTAATTTGGGTTTAACAACATTTTTTCAATGAGATCTTTTTGGTTATTTCTCTTAAATTTTAAAATTTCAATTTAGTTTTATTTCACTCTCTATCATTTTAAAGTATTAGATATTTGAATTGAAAAATACTAATTTTAAAATTCTTTCTCTAAAAGTTTTCCTAAAAACAATAATTCTATTGGGACTGGGATGAAAAACGTGTAAGTTTGAATAATGTGGATTTATGTTCCTTCATATTATTGTCCGCCCAATTTCACGTCCCAGATAGTTCTTCCTTCCGTTCTATTTATAAATTTTGAATTTGGAAATGTGTGTAATTTATTTTATAAGCATTAATTTATATTTGTCTTAATATTTAATATATTTTTTATGTTACTCTTAATTATTTATTTTTTATTATATTTTTCTGTACATTCTCTTTCATCTATTTTTTATTTATTATAAAAATATATTTAAAATATTTATATATTTCTAGCATATTTATTATTTTTTAATAATTTTAATTAATTAATTATTCCCTATGAATTATGAATTAGTTATTTGAAGAGCAGAATTATACAGCAAAGCCACGCTCACATACATGACATACCACTTTGACTGTTTGGACTTTGGGTGGTCAGTGTGAGGTAAAAGGAATTTGTCTTCTCAAATAAAAAGAAAATATGAACTTTTAATTTTCAATTTACAAATTCTATTTTTATTAGTTATTGTATTGGGAGAGTTAAACTTACGACCCCAGGCGCGTCGACCAGGCGCGTGATGCTATTCACGGGCGCTTGTCCGTAACTAAGAAAATATTTTAATATAACCAAATGAGAAAATAGAGCTTTTACTTACCTCAACCAAACGCCGAAGCAAAAGAGAATCTGAGATCTGCCGTCTCTGTCCAGTGTTTGTCTTTGATCTGCTTCTAAGTTGACCTTTGGTTATCTCTAATGGCGAAGGATTTGAAGTTATGCTCTCAAACAAGGCTATGGCTCCTACCGTTCGCGCTTTCCCTTTTCTGCTTTGCGAGTCGCCTTCTACCTCGAGCAGAGGCCATATGGCTGAACATTCCCAGCTCCGGAACCAAGTGCGTATCTGAGGAAATCCAATCTAACGTCGTCGTGTTGGCCGATTACGTTGTGGTGGCCGATCATCCTGACGCTCATCACCTTCCCACTATTTCGGCCAAGGTATATAGTCTTTATTTTTGTAATTCCTTTATGATTCATTTGCACTCACCCGCAACTCCGCTCTTTTATTAATATCAATCTTAATAATAATTTTCCGCTTCTTTTTCGGTCACGGTGGCCAATTTGATACTTTAGCTCGGTTTTGCTTCTAAAATTCACTTAATTTTCGGGAAATAAATTTCAATTTCACAAACGGGGCTTCGTTAGTTTCATGACTCATGAAATTGGACCATTAAAGGTCATAGAGAGGTATTGCCCTATTGGCATGGAACAATTTACAATTTGAAGACTAAAATTGACGCAAGTATATCGGATAAAGAAGGGGGAAATCAGGGTCGATGACTAATCTTGAATTTTGAGAACCTTGGGATCTTCCATGAATTCCCTACGATGCCGCAGATCGGTTACGAGTTGTAGGCTTGATATCTTCCTCGTGTCTCTGATTTGCTATGCTAGATGCTGTAAGCTAGGATTAGTCTGGGTCTATGCGTGAACAGATTAAGCTAATTGGATTATTACGAAGAGTAATATTTGCAACCTTTATCAGGTAACATCTCCTTATGGAAACAATCTTCACCACAATGAAAACGTTACCCATGGTCAATTTGCATTTACAACTACGGAGAGTGGGAACTACTTGGCTTGTTTCTGGGTGGATGGTCAACATCAAGAAGGTGAAGCCACAAGTCTCAACCTTGAATGGAAAACTGGAATTTCTGCCAAGAATTGGGAGACGGTTGCGAGGAAGGAAAAGATTGAGGCAAGTTTATCTACTCCAACCTTCACAATGTAATGTTTATATGGAGTTTGGACCACGGAGTGTAATGCCATATTTTTGACATTATTTCAAGGGTGTTGAACTTGAGCTGAGGAAACTTGAAGGAGCAGTGGAAGCGATCCATGAGAATCTGATTTATTTGAAGAATAGGTAAATCTTCTTTTATTATCGTTAAGAGTTATCTTCCAGTTCATTTCATACAGTATGTGTTCTCACTATTGTAAATTGAGGGTGTCTCTTCTCATTTCTTTGGCTTAATTGGGTAGAAATTTGTGGCATGAGATTGGAAAACATATATCCTGCTAAATATAAGGATGTTCATGGAATAAAATCATCTACTCATGTTAGTATTGGTTGGGGGGGGGGAGGATCCGTCCCCATTTTTTATCTTTTCTTGCAACGTCTATAGAGTCCTTAACACTATTACTTTGCTCATTTTTAATATTTTTGGGGAGCAAGACTACAAGAGTTATCTTTTATCAACAAAATCTTTTTTTTTTTTTAATTTCTATTCTATTTTATATTTTAATCAATGGAATAATTTCTCCCTTGAACTTATCTTTGTAAGACATATTGCATGGAAAGTAGGGTTGTCAATATGGGTCAAACCTCCAGGCGTGTAGGTTCAATTCTATAAAAGTATGGACTATGGAGCTAAAATAACATTCATTTGAAAGGGCACTTTTTAACCGGGCCCAATTTGGCCCTCAGGGCCAATCCAGACTCAATATATATATATATATATATTAAAAAAAATCAACTGTTTATATTCATATTTTTAGAGCTTACCCTTGGGGCCAATCCGCAATATTGAGATATTGGGTTGGGTTAGGATTTTTCTAGTACATTGCAGGGTTTGTGAGTCCTTAACATCTGCCCCCACCCCACCCCACCCCACCCCAACCCACTTTTACCACATGAATTAATCGTAGGTGGCTAGGTTAGGTTAGAATTTTTATAGCATAAAAAAGGGCCTCATTCGTCTTAAAAAGCTTAGGGCCTTTGAAGGCATTTCTATCTTAGGAGATTACGTTTCAAGTCAAACACACATATATACCTTATTGTAGTACAGACTACAGAGGTTAAAAAAAAAAAAAAACAAAGAAAGAAAGAAAGCAAATGATAGTTAGTTCCATTGGTAGAGATGCAACTTATATTTCACAAGTAAGTGAGTTCAAATCCTTTTGTCAGTGTAAGGACTTCGTTAGTGAACAAGTGGTAAGTATTTCTGTGCACTTTTTTGAGCCATAAGGTTTATCATGATTTTGACGTGCCTCAAGACCTAAGTAATCTTAAATTAAAGAAAATAAAAAGACCTAGAGGGCATGTTTGCCTATTCGGGTCCTTTCAGGTCCTCTCATCTGCTGATAATTGTGGTTCTCAGCATTTTGAAAGTTTCTTTTGTTGGACATTGGAACAGGGAAGCAGAGATGAGGGAAGTCAGTGAAAAAACTAATGCTAGAGTGGCTTGGTTAAGCATAATGTCTCTTGGAGTTTGCATTTCGGTTTCAGCTTTTCAGCTTTGGTACCTGAAGCGCTACTTTCAGAAGAAGAAGCTCATATAGATACTGTTTTATCGGGACGCTTCTTGACAGAAAACTGTTCTCTGAATTTTTGAAAAATCTAGGACTAGTTGATATACTTGATCTTGTTACTGGGGATGCACGTTATATTCAGAAAATGCAGAATTGGATTGTTACTTTCATACGGCTGAACGGAATGATGTTAGATCTTGATAATGAGCAGAGATTGATTGATGGGATCATCAGAAATATAGTGAATCAAACCAACTTTTGAATTTTGTGAGATGGGCATCCATCGAGCTAATGTGCTGTACGATTATTAGTCTGTATCTGCAAGTTCTCCACCCTCCCCACTGAACTCCATAGTGTTCGTAAGGAATAATGTCAGTGTCATTTTATATTTTGTAAATAGATTACCATGTACGCTCTCTTGCTTAGAACAACCGACAAATAGAAAAGCAGGGGAATTAAAAAGGTTAAATGTTTGTCAGTTTCTTGGTTTAACGAAGCACCGGTGGTGACAAAGGAGGGGAAACGAGAGACACGGAGAATCACAAATTTATTCATGGTTGCCAGATGGTGTTCGCAAGGGGGAATTGTGTTCTTTCTTTCTTTAGTGATTCTAGTAATTCAGTGATTCCAGCAGCCAATAATTAAACTCACTAAATTATATACGAGCACATTTTGAGATTCAGATTTTTTTTTTTTTGGCCAAAGAGGGTATTGCCAACAAAAAGAAGCTAGTCCTGGGGGATTGAATCCCTTACACCCTCTGTCAACGAAGGTCCATAAATGAGTCGGATATCCATTCAACAAAGAAGATTTGGATAACCCATCCTTAGCTAAAGCATAAGCTAAGCAATTCTGATATCTAGAAATGTGTTGAATTTCCAGTTTTCAAGTATGTGCATCAGATTTTGAATCCGGAAAAACATCGTTACATGTACTAGAGTTGCATCTCTCAGCGGCATGTCAATCAGGAGAATCGA